GCAGTGCCAAGAGTAGCATGCGCGGCTCGGCCAGAGTGCTGCTGCCTGCTCTGGGCTAGGTGCTGAGAGGCCCGGGCCAGGCTGCCACCCACGGCAGGGGAGGCGGTGGGGCTGCCCAGAAGCTTCAGTTGCTCTCCCCTGGCTGGAATTCTTCTGCACAACAAACTTGTTCTTAAATATGTTATCACAGAGGCATAATTATTGGCTCTCCCTTGGTCAGCAGCAGGAAGTCCCTCCTGTAGCTAGCTATCATTGGCTTCATTGGGGGGGAAACTTCTAGCAGCTTCTAACCGAAGCCACCCTATGTAGCCCTGCCCCACTACCAAAAAACCCAGCCACCTCAACCCACGACAGCCCTCACTGAGGAAAGATCAAGAGCATCAGTGAGGACACACACACCGTGGACGATACTGAAATGAAGGGCAGCATTTCTTGTGGGTAGACTTTGATGGTGTTATGCAATTGATCTTCATTTCTGCAAGAGTTGAGGAAATTGGTATGCTTAGCCAATTAAATATGTTGAACTGGGAAGAAGTGTAGATATGCTTGCTGGTGCTGCAAAAAGATGTGTCTTGAGTGAAACTCAGTTTTGGTTTTTGGTTTGTTTTTTTGTTATTGTTGGGGTTTTTTGAGTGGGGGAGTCCAGCTCTTTTTAAAAACCATCATGAAACTTCTGGGTAGATATGTGAAACTAACATTATGTATGTATTATGCATGCTTATTAGTTTTTCAACTGAACTGGAAGAAAATGGTGAAATATAACTTTAGCATTGCTTACAGGCAATGGAAGCTGATATATCCACGTTATTCAGCACTAGATGCTACTTCTGTGGTCTTAGTGACTACTCAAGTCACTCCTCTTTGAAATGGCTATAATGATTTACCTGGCCTAGGGTTCTTTATTTTTATTTTTAAATACTATTTTCTGAACAACTCTTAACATACTTGTGGGCATTCATTAGAGCAGAATTGTAATAGTGGAGATCCTCAGCTTGAGATAACAAGAAGTTCAGGAGCTGTATTGTTTTCAGTACTAATAAGAGTTGGCCACTATATTTTATAAATTCTCAAGAGAAATAAATATATTTATGATATATGCAAAAGTATTGTGTTCCCTTTTTTTTCCCCAAATGTTCCGGCATAAAAACCAGTATATTTTTTGTATATTGGAGTTTCAATATCCATCAATTAAAGCAAAAGAATTAACTGCCACTAGTTTCATTGAGAAGGACTAATGAAGATTACAAGAAGCCTTTTTAATTAATGCATTTTTAATGTATGTCTGTAAAACAGACTTAAAGGCAAGAACTTTATGTGTAGGCAGAAAAAATATTTTCTCTATGTCCTTGCTTTGAGGGGAATACAGTTTCAAATGAAAAGCTTAGTTAGTGGTGCTGTGCAACTCCTGGATGGAGGAAGATGCTGGGGCCTGAGTCTATATCCTTATTCACGTCCCTGAGGATGAATCCTTTTCTGGACTTGTTCTTTTGTTTGCCTTGTAGATGTGACAGGAGTTAAGACCAAATGACACACAAGGTTAAGGATGTTATTCTGCACTAGATTTTAGACTTCAGGTCCATCAATGAGATCAGTTGTGGGTCTTCAGATCTTTCACACTTGCATGCTAGACTAAACTGTAGAACTTTCTGCTTCTTGTCTGTCAAGGCTGGTAACTCTGTTAGAGCATGGGAATTTCTACCCAGGCCAGAGGAACCTATGCTCACTCTGGCTTTTATAACCATCCCCTTGTCTCATCCTAGTGGGAATGAGGGCAGAATTTAGTCCCAAACAATAAGAAATATGTGTAGGTTCCCTGATCTACAAGTATCTTGTGAATGTAGGGTGCCAACTCTAAATCCCTGAATTATACCATTCTCAGTGGAACACCTAACAAATTCATGTTTCTGCACTTTACATATACTTGTTGAGCTTCAGGTAGGTTGTTTTACATAAGAGCTTTTAAGAAAAGACTCTGCCTGAAGAGTAGTTGTAAAATATAAAGTCAAATATTCAAGGACTAACACAAAGCACCTGAAACATGGACTGATTTCCACTGTTATGCACTGTCCCCTCTTAGCACATTACTCAATGATCCTGGCAGCAGTTAGTATTTTGCCACGACAGCTTTTAAGAGTTTTTCAACCCCCAAATCCAGTTTTATGCTTCATTCCCCAGTGACTGCATCTGTACTAATAAATTAAACACATTCAATCATTGTCACCTTTGAGGCCAACAGGCCAGAGACTGCCTGCTTCCACTGGTAGAAAACTTTTTTACCTCCCAAAATGGGGCAGTAGCATCTAAAACACATCTTGAGAGTTACTTATGGTTGATGTTTATTCCTGGACAGCAGCTAAGAGTTATTTGGGAAAGTGCTGTTTGGAACGAGTCTAAACAATTTCAGGAATGGTAACACAGTATAGGTGACTGAGTTCCCATGCTAAGACTGTTGCTTGGTCCTATTAAACATACCAGTATGGGAGTAGGCTATTTAAATTAGCATAGCAAAGGGCTTTTTCCCAATGGTGTAATGGGAAACAGAGCTACCAAGAAAGACAAAATAACCTCATAAGATTGCTCCAGCTTAACCACTGCTTCTGAATGGCTGTCTTCTCTTCCACCTGGTGTTTAAGTGTTGGCAGCCTGTTAGGAGGGTGCCTTGGCTTTTCTAAATCTTGGATAGCCTTTTGTCTAGCTGTATTTGAAGAGTATCAGTATTCTGCTGTATTCAGATAAATTTCTTCAGCTCAAGCTCTTCTTTCCTTAATGTTAATTAGCTTAAAGTTTTAACGAGTGAGTGAGATGTTGCTCCAACTGTCTGTGAACACCTATGGACACTTTGATATGCTGATTTCATTCTGGAGACAATACTTTCCTTTCCATAACATGAATTCAGCTGTGGTCTCTCTGACTTCCCCCTTTTCCTGCAGTATGGCTTATGCTATGCTTTACGCTGTCATGACTACAGGTTTAGTATTATGAAAAATACCTTTCAGACATTCAGTCTGGCAAATCTAGATGCATTGCTGGGTTTCCATAGAGATGACACAAAACAAATTAACATATATAAGATCTGACTTGCCTTTTTGTTACCTTTTTGTCAGGTCCAGAAATCTGAGTCCCTTTCTTGTGATAAGGACACTTGATTAATATATTACTTAATTTGGTGTAGTAGAGTGTTTCCTCTATTCAGAGGCAGTCTTGCTGAGAAACTTTATTTGCTTCCACTCTTGTAATCATCTTTTCTGATACCAAAACTGAGTTAACTTTTCATCTATCAGTGTGCTGATCCTAGAAAAGTAGTGCCTTCCACCACATTTTTATGCAAATAAGGAGAAATTCTACATCCCCCGTGTAATTCTTTTGACATCCCTAAGGAACTAGGACATCCAGGTATAGACCTAAGTTGTCAGATATTTCTTTGCAGAGCTTCAACCTTCACTAATATATTCCAGATTTTCAATAGGAGTTCTTGGTCTTTCTGGTATAGAAATAAATTGCTATTTTATCAATTTTAGCATAAGTAAAAACCCACAAAATTCGCAATTTAAAACTTCAAGTTGCCAAAATTATTCTGTGCAATCTTACCACTTAATAACTCCCCTGTCATGGAAAAAATGTGAGTGCTTAAGACTCGTGCAAGAAGACTAATAATTTGTTCAATCGTGATACTCTATAGATCAGGGAAATAAATATTTCACTTGGTTCTTTCTGTACTGTGCATTGGCTGAGGTCTATGTAAACTGCCCAGGTAATGGAGGAAAGAGAGGGTGAACTGGGAATGATCAGACTCTAAAAGCCTGGCTTGCTACAACTTGGGCACATACTTTGTACGTGAAGTAGTACAATGTTTTTGTATTGTGTCGAGTAGCAGCGAACTTGTGGGTTCTTGGTCTTTCTCAGAACTTCTCCTCAATGTACCACTCCTCCCTGACTAGCAGGACATTTGCCAAAAAGACATCTACTCACCATTTCAAATCATGGAGTGAAAGATAAAAACACATTTGGTTGTCTGTTTCAGCTGTTAGTCATCATCACTTTTTGGCAGCCAAGGCTTTTTCTCCAAGCTTAAGTCTTTGGTAGAGGCATCTTCTCCCCCACAGAGTTTACTGGTTGCCCTGTTAGGAGAGTAAATCTTTGTGTTGAATATGTCTTGAAGCACTCTTTCTGCTCTCACTTCAGTGCTTTCATGCTTTCCAAAGCTGTATACAGAAATAAAATTGCCTCTTTCCTCTAACTTTTCCTTTGAGTGAGCAAAGGCTGTAGTAGATATGTCTGGTACTGCAGGCTAGGAAAATGATTCCCTGTCACAGCACCCAAACTCCTGTTGGTTTTGTTTGTGACTTTGTTTAACTGTACTTGGTTGAAACTGTGAGCAAAGTGGTGCTACTTTGAAAATCTGCTTTATAAGGGATGCAACTGGAAAAAGAAATTTGTGCTTGACAGAATAAGAAATGACGATGCTGTGCAATTCTGCTTTAGATAAAAACAATTACTTTTTTTTAAAGCCACAAAATGCTTCTAAGTCTTTCTGTTTGATTAAGTAATCTCTTGTAAGGCTTCATCATATTAACCATGAAGGAAAATTCCTTAAAATTATCTTTTAAATTACTTACCAGAGGTTTATATATCTGCTGGAAGGATTTGCAACAATTCACTGAAGCAGTTGCATCCTGACAATGTCCAAAGATATGTGAGTCTGTGTTACAGGAACTTTACAATGAGGAAAGAAAACATAGCCACTGTACACCCCAAATATGCGAATGAAAATAATTGTTTGCTTAAAAACACTCCCAGCAAATGTCTTATCCACAGTATAGGTTCTGTATCCTCTGTCTCATTTCATTTTGTCTGTTTCCATAACCTTTTTTTTCCACCTATGTTGTTTTTCAGCAGACACGTGATAAAATATCTAGGCTGGATTCCAAGGGTGGGATAAAAAGCTGTGTTTATTTTTATGGAAGCACTAACAGTTCTATTTGGGTTGGATTTCTTCATAGCAAAACCAATGAATTATTGAACAGATTGCACCTGGGTTTGCCAAAGAGTGATTCCTGTCAGATTGCTAATCCTGTCCCAGAATCTACAGCATGGGTAAGCAAAACTATGGTGTGTGCTGTATTTTCTATCAGCTTTCCAGGTGCTGTCAATAGTGTAATGTTAGAATATTCTAATTGAGCTTAATTTTCTAGACATAACTCAGTGAGTACCAAGGAGTATTTCTGGGTGAATGAGATTGCCTACATTGTCTCTTACATACTGGCAGAGTATTCTACATAGTAGGGGAGTGCTCACAGATCTCTCTCTGATAAAAGAAAACCAGATTTATATTCAAAGGTGAGATCAGAATCTTTAATATATATCCTGTACTCATCCATTGGTGGTAAGCTTTTATGAAATCTCAATTAGTTCTTGTCAGCAGAAGCTTTACTGCATTAAAAATCTAGTCAAAATAAAGAGAAGCCTGTTTCTCACTGCCTCGTAAAAAGTGATTCCATACACTGCTTGGGGTCTTTGTCCCAGTTTGAGTGAGCCTGGTGAGTATCAATGTAATTAGGAAATAGATAAAGTATTGCTTAAGTTTAATTATTCTAATTATCTCTAAAAGGCTTTTCCACATACAATTAGTCTCTTCATGTCTAAACCAAGCTTTCCTATTATGTAATAACTTCAAGTGAGGAATATTAACCCTGAGACAGAAGTATTTCTCCTGTAGGGAGATTTGTAATTGGGGGAAGACAGAGAAGAGGCAGCCAAGTGGACAGAAATTACTTTTGTAAGAAACTCAGAGGAAATTTGGAAGTATCTGATCTGGGCAGCCCTCTATTGTATACAATCTTGAGTAACAAGAAGGGAAGATTTGCCTCCCTATTTCCTCAGAAGCCTTAGAAATGTGCAAAAACCCTCCTGTTACTGAAATTGCTGCCAACAGAGTATATGACAGCTGTCTTACCCCTCCTTTCTCTCCCTGGTTTACATGAAAAGGGAAGGTGATATTGAAAATAGATTCCTTTCCCATTTGATTCTGCCAATCATTTTGTGCCTCTGAAAATCCTAAAGAAATCTTAGCATATGTGAGCAGATATATAGCTTGAAGGAGCCAACTCCTGTCCAGCATTGCTGGACAGAAGGTCAATTGCAGGAGAGTGGCTTTCAGACTATCTTTTATAGTCCTGGATGGACAAGAACGATGAAGGACCATGGGAAGAGAGAAAAGATGTCTTGAAACAACTTCTGCCTCCCTCTTGAAGCATCCAACGCTCCAAACAGTGGGGAGCTTGTTCTTTGGTAGGGAAGACCCCGCTCTGCAGCCTTTGTATGGTGTGAGCATTGAACTGTGAAGACAAGTGAGCTCATATCCCCAGGACTGACTTGGATTTCAGCATTTTGGTGTTGTGTCTTCATATCCATAGAGAAGTGGGTGGATGTCTGAAGGAACACTGAATTCTTTCAGATGTACAGGTACTTCTTTTAGCCTTGGCCTTCTACTTTGCCTACATATGTGCGGCTTTCTCATTCCAGGTTTTGACAGGTTTCTTAATAAATTATGCCAAATTACATACCATAGTTAATCTTTTGCTTCACTAGTGTCCAAGCAGGTAAAATACATCATTCATCAGTACTGTTCTTTAATACTAGATGATATTGTACCTGTCGGTTGCATAGCAGCATTTCTATAGCTTTCTGAATCAACTAATCACTTGCTTGTAATGCAGCAATGCTGTTAGCAGTTCTCCCAAGCAATCTGGATGAGGTATGGTCTATGGGCATACTCACACCATCTGAGCTCTGTGTGAGGAATGTGAAGCACATAACCAATGAGTTGTTATCTAAATAATCTTGGCATAGTATCAAGATTCTAAACCAGTGGGAAAGCTAGGACTCTAATTTAGATGTTATCTTGAACGTGTCCTTTGTCTGGAGTAATTAAAAGATTCAGGAACAATGCATTTGAAGTGTGATAAGCTTAGGACATGACTGACATGCATGCTAAAAGGGGGCATATACGTACATATATGTGATTTTTAAAATTTAAAATTCATCCTCTAACACCAGTTTGGGACAATGTAATGGTCAAAGTTTTTCCCTCACATCATTTCTTTGGTAATGATATTAATTCAACACACCTAGTTCAACTATCAAGGCCAAATGTTACTTGATGTCTGTGAAAAAATTTGACTTCTTTGGAGCGACTGTGTCATTGATGACTTTTTTGGCCTGCTTATTTAATCAAACTCATAACTAATTTTAATCCTGTCTTTCAAAGTGTGACCAATCCTGTGTAGATTTTTATTGTCTTCCAACTTGATTAACATACTCTCCACACAATTCTCCAAGCCATTATGGAGAGTAATGAATAATATTGGACCCAGAATGAGTCTCCCTGGACACATGTAACAACTTCTCCCAGCTCAAAATTGAGCTATTAATAATTGATTTCTCTATTCAGTCTTTTTAGCAAATTATGTGCCTGTTGTTTTAATGGTGTCGTTCTGCGTGCATATATCAAGTTTTGAGAACATTGTGTAGACCTGCCACAAATTCCTCACCGAAGTCAGACCTGCATGATTCCTGTATTAAATTATACTGTCTCATTATTAAGTGTGCTACACTATGTCCCTGCTCAAAGACTTTTCAGTACAAGTTCCAGTGTATAATATCCTGAAGATCATATAAAATCCTAATGGCTTTTTGCTAACAAATAAAACTTGTGAAAGACCAGGGCTAGTTACTATAATGAAAATGTACTACACAGCTGAATATACTATTTGTGATGTGTAGTTCAGATTTTCAGGTGTCTTGGCCGCCCCACAAATAATAGAGCAGATTTGATCTCTCAGTTTCTGTTGTCTTACCTCCACAAATAATCCTGTTTTCCCCTCTGTTACCAGGCTTCTGTTCTGCTTTTTTATCTTGGATATATTTCCAGTACTTTTTTTCTTCCCAGAATACCCCATCTCACTATCATATATCTTAACTGTGTTTTGTGACTGCTCAGATTATGTTTGTCTCTGGGACATGTGCTGTGGATACTTTGTTGTGATGTGTAGGTGGACGTTCAGCCAAGCTGAATCACAGAGAGGCTTTAAAACACTTCTTCTTTAAATTCTAGTTTTGGGACTAATCTGTTTCTTAAGTAACTAGAATCATTCAACGATTTATATTTGTTAATTACCCATATAACAAATTGGGAATAAGGTTCCGGAGTTTGGCCTCCCCTTCCCCACACCAATATATTTTTATTTTCTGCTGAAAAATAGACAAGAAGCCATGCTTACAAGCAAGCTCTTCGAGAGGATGATAACAGAAGATTAGAGGAAATGAAGCAAGAACAACGAAGGAAGGTATTTATACATTAACAGTTTGCATAGTGTAACTTTTTTGCATGCTGTGAAACCAGTTAAATTCATTGATTACTTGTAGTCTATGCACAGAGCTTCTCTTCAGCAAAAGTGATTCAGTCACTGTTTTCAAACACTGTGAGAGAGACGAGTCAAGTTGCAAAATTTGAACAGGGACGGGGCAATTATCTTCTGGGTTCAAGGGTGTTTGCATCTGGATAAGAAGCTCCTGTTTGCCTCTCCATATGAACAATTGTGCAGAGTGTTTTTTCACCATGGCACCTGATTTCATAGGCTAAGGAAACCAGTTTACTCTCTCTCAAGCAGAAGTCGTCTTACTGAGATATTCATGATGATCTCAGTCTGAATAGTCTGTTTCTACAGAACTGGTGCCCATGTGCCCTGCTTTCTCAAATGGGAACATGGAAATGTTCAGATTTGCTGTTAATTATAGTATGCTTCTCTGTTCCCTTACTAATCACCTAAATGAAGAGTTTTGAATTGTCTAAAAAGCAGGCATGCCGTAACTGCAACTTTGAACTCCATCTTCTGCGTATGTGTCATGCATTGCCTGAAATGTGTCTGAACACTGTAGTCCCTCTGTTATAGATTTGGGTACCATAACCACGTGAAGTTCATCTACTGAAGGCGATGGCGCTGTGCCAAGTTATCTGTCTTGGCTCCAGGTCTGACTTCAACATTTGAAAATCGTATTAGCGAATCATTGGAAAACATATGAGCAAATACTGAGCTTCTTGCTGTGCCTCTACTGTTACTAGTACCTAAATTCATGTTAAAGTACTTCCCCAGTAGCAGAATCTTAGCACAACAAATTCCATGCAGTGAGTTTCTACTAGAGCTGGAGAAGTGACTGATCCCCTCTCATGGATATTTTTCTTTACATGTTGGGGATGTGTCCTCATTTCATGTTATTGTAACACTGTGATACCGGAAACAAAAGGTGGAGCAAAAGGGAGGTTCTTAATTGCTATCCCATCAGGTGTATGCTTATTCCCAGTAACTATAAAGAGTGAAATTTTTTAAATCAGTCCTGATGCGTGTAAGGCCGGTAGCTGTTGTATTCTGTACATTGATTCTTCCAAAGAGAAAATAGTTACAGATGTATATTAGCTTGCCCCTAATTGATGAGGGTTTTTTAAAGGGACTTGTGTAGAGCTGTAGACTCTTTACTAATTTCCACAAATTACTAAGAAGGTGTTGGCTGCTTTTAAGGCTGGACTTGTTTGCTACATGGTTCCAAGGTCTCCTTGCCTTCACAGTTGCTGCAACCTATCAAGCAAAGTAATGCACTACTTACAAACCTGCAGCAAATAATATATATTTTAAAAGCACCAATAATTGTCCCTCAGATATATGTTGGCTCATTTCTACTTCAAACCAATATTTATTAAAGAAATCATGAATTTTGTCTTGTGTGTACCTCCTGGTACAGTGTAGCTATAAAATGTGTAGGCATTGTCAGTTCCCTTTTTAGTTCAGAATAGGTTTTAGTATGTATTACTTGATTTAGAAATTTTCAGTACATTTTGCATCATATACACACAATATATTTCAGAACATTACTCCAAGAGAGGAGTTGGCATAGTGGAAAGTCAGATACTGAGTTTTAATTTTCAGGTTGAATAGTTATTTAAAACAGTGAAAATTAGGGTTGGCTTTTTTATTTCTTAATCCTGTTTCTTCTTTTAGGGCTAGATAAATATTGATACACAACACATTCTCAGTTATTGATTTTCTTCATACATGTATTGAATAATTACTATTTAATGTTCCACTTAAATTGATTTAAAGAAAAAAAAGACTTGTGATTCTATTCAGTTATTGAAGCTTTTATATAAATGAATAATTTTATTTTAGTTTCTATTCCTACTGCCTCACAGTTGCTATGGAAAATATGAAAGATGGGTCTGTTCCTATCCCTTCACATTTGCCCTGCAAGCCAAATTTTTTCTGCAGAAAAATCTGCACCTTCAATTCTTGGGTGCCTTGCAAGGAGCAAGAGCTACACAAACAAGCAAATATGCAGGCCAGAGTCATACAAACTGTGTTTCCTTCACAGTTCTGGCTAAAATTGCATAAGCAAACTCTCCTTTGAAAAGAATTCCATTTGACACTGTTTATATATCTTAATATTACATAAGGATGGTTAGTCTGCTGCAAAGCTGGGAGCTTGCATATGCTTCCACCACATCAAAAAGTATCATTTGCCCTCCTCACCCCGGTAGGAGTCCCAGGGAGCTGGAGGTAACACACCATGCCACATACCCCATATCTCATCTTTTCCTTGTGCTCTTTAGAGGCAGGAGGGAAAAGAGCATGTCTCCTTCTTACCCTATGGGCATGACAGCTCTGTCTGCTCCTGCTAGATTACTTTGGCTGTCTTCCCCCTTGGACCCACAGGGAAATTCAAACCCCTGTGTTGGGGCAAGGGGAAGCAGACTGGTGTCTGGCATATCCCCTTAAATGTAGGACTGTAAATGTCTGAATCCTGTAACTTCCCACTTTTTAAGGTACAAACAAAGATCACCCACATGCTGAACAGAAAAATGAACTCAATTTTTGACATAGTGCTGTCACATAAATAAAATGCTGCTGAGAGATGTTCTGGGAATGACATGTGGCTCTAACTGAGGTTAATATCATGTGGAATTAGTAGGGTTTGCAGCATAAGTATGTTAATTAAAAGTAAGTTTGTTTGTTTGTTTATTTGTTTGGTTTTCACTTTTATCATTCCCAGGCTGAATTAATGGAATTTAAACAAAAGCAGGAAGAGGAAGCCAGGACAAGAGCACATCAAAATGAACAGAAGAGGTACAGTGCAGAAAATGCAGAGTACACTCTAATTGAATTCCTACCTGGAAAGGGTCTCAAAATTGCAGGCACTCATACTTTGGAAGACGATTGCAAAGAGGATCCCATATCTCGTCTCTGGTTTAGCTTTGCTTTCAAATGAGGCACTAATATCTATCATTACAACTGCTCACTGTAATGCAGGATGACCCAGAGTGCCTTTTTAATTTTCTTTATCCTATCAGCATAGGATACAGGATAGGGTAGAAACTATTAGTACAGTATTAACTACTAGTACAGTAGGTTCAGCTGGGACACGTTTATCTATCTATCTATCTATCTATCCGTAAGATAGATATAAAATCTACATAATTTTACTTTCTTCTACAGTGGGTTACTTAGTCCATTGTGGTTGACTGTCACTAAGGTTAAGAGACAGAGCTAAACATGGGATTTGATATCCATACAGATAGATACTGCTCTTGCAGTGCAGCAAGGCCTTCTGCATCAGCATTTCTTCACACCTCAGCCTGTACCTCACTGCTGTGACCCCTCCATGCTCAGCTGTTCTCATCTTCCGCTTCAGTCACTTAACTGACTTTCCATTATCCTGAAGCACAAATTTATTCTCAGCTTCATTTTCTGCTGGAAAAAGAAAACAATTCTCAGGCTCAAAAATAAATCCACCTTTTTTTTATACCATTATGGAAATATTAAAAAAATACTTCTGTAGGCAACCACTCTCCATACTGCTTTCATTTCTTTTTTTTCTCTAGCAAAGACATTGAGGTAATTACCCATAGAAGCTAATGAAGGATTTTCAATTCACTCCATCTCGTGTCCCTATGTAGAAATAACACAGTATCTTGCATTTTATATTTTTCTTACCAACGGTATTATAAAACATTAAAACAACAGTCACGTTTAAGCATGTATGTCATTCCTAAGCATTATTAGGGGGAAAAATGAAACAGTTTTCAAAAGAATCATAGAATTATTTGGGTTGAAAGGCACCTTAAAGATCATTGAGTTCCAACCTCCCTGTCATGGGCAGGGACACCTTCCGCTAGACCAGGTTGCTCCAAGCCCCATTCAACCTGGCCTTGATTGTTTCCAGGGATGGGGCATACACAGCTTCTCTCGGCTACCTGTTCCAGTGCCTCACCACCCTCAAAGTAAAGAATTTCTTCCTAATATCCAATCTAAATCTACCTTCTTTGAGTATACAGCCGTTACCTGTAATGCTATTGCAACATGTCCTTGTAAAAAGTTCCTCTCCAGTTCTCTTGTAGCCCCTTTCAGGTACTGAACAATCCCAATTTGAAAATACTTAAAACATATTGAGGAAAACTATGTTTGTATTTGTTCATGCTTTCCATGTTGATAGAGCAGTGTAAGAAAATGCTAGAGTTGATTCCAGGGCTGGATAGTAGGGAAAGTTGTCAGCTGCATAAATTGTCTCTATTAGTTACAAGCTTAGGTTGTTTTTTCATTTGCGTTAGGAAATCAGTACTTTTAGAAACTTTCCTTGTGTGGTGAAGGCTGAATGATTATCTAAGATGAATTGTCAAAGTAGGTAATCTCCCTGATAAGGTGAGTGGTGTTATGCAGGTTATCTTTCTATGGAGAATTTTTCACAGCAGCCAAGATGTGCCTTTTAATCACAACAGACTGACCACAGGATAAGGATGCACCTAGAGAACTGAAAATTAAATCCACTCGATCTTGTTCTTGTCCACGGTTATGCAGCCCAGGTTTGAAAAATATAGGAAGATAGGCACTGAAAGGAGGGGAAGGGAAAGCCACTCACAGAATATTAAATTTCAACAGTTTGTGATTTCTCAATTACCTTCAGTCATTATTCATTTTTTTATTGTACTTTAAGGGTAAATAATGCTTTCTTGGACCGACTCCAGAAGAAAACACAACCTAATAACAGCTACCAAACTGGATGTACTGGACTACCTTATTAATGACACAGGGGTAAGTTTTTGGGTGCAGAACTTGGAAGTAATGAGTTGACTTTTTCTCCAGACACTATTGTGTCTGGGTGTGTTTAACCTGCCTCACAGAACTTACAGTCCTGGATAGCTGTCCTCAATAGCTTTTAAGAAGGAGTCCTGCCTATATATAAGCCGTTCAAATGGGAGGAGGGAGAAACAGTTGCTCATGTAGTAGAATTCAGTGGCTTTGCATGCAAGATACTCACTGCAAGGAACAACATCCAAAGTACCTCCTTAAGTTCAGAAAAAGGATCTTGAATTGTTAGGAATTTTTTGAAAATCTTTAAATGAAAGATGTTTGGATATGCTGTAAATATTTTAATATGATACTGAAATTGGAGTGGAAAAATCCCATATATGTATATCTATATAGTTATTCCCATGTATAGCTGTTCATTTTTTACCCATATAAAATTATGACAAAGAAGGCCCAACAACAACTGATTTAAAATGTATTTTTAAGGATTCTTTGAAGAAAAGCGATCTTGACTGTGGTCTATTAAACATCCATTCTTTTTCAACTGTCCTAATGAGGCATTAATTTGACTGTTGTTTAGAATTGCACTCTTCAGTATAAACAAAAAAATAAAATTATGTGTATTCCCATCATGGAAATTTCTGTTAGGTTGAACTTCCATGGATGAAAGGACTCTAGTGCAGAAATGGAAGAGTTAGGAAGACTGAGCAGCAAAATGATGAGAGGCTAAGAGAATTTAATGAATTTGCCAGTGTAGAGGAAGGTGTTTAGCTGATAAACTAAAACCTTGAATTGGATTTGTTGGACTATCTGGTGAAGATGGATATGTTGGCCAATGAATGCCAGGAAGACTTGGGTTCAAGCATCTACAAAGTCAAGGCTTAGCTGAAAAGCAGATATTGTTACTGCTGGAGTTTTCCATGTGCTGGAACTGTCTTCATCACTACAAGCTTTGGGCAAGCCCTAGACCACAGCAGAGGGCTCAGGAACCTTGGACTGGTCCTCTTGGTCTTGTGAGAGGAGACAGGACCTGCCAGTTTAACCTCCCATGAGGTCTGTGAGCAGATGCTTGGCAAACCAGGTGGTTAGAAGCTTTACTGGTAAGGTCTGGATCATGCACCAGGCAGTCCAGAAGTTGCTGGAAGCCAAACTACAGATGTCCAGGCTAGTTAAAGACTGTGAGTTAGACAGCACTGTGTATGGCAGGCCTGAGTGATCTGCTGAAGGATAGCATGTCTACAGATAGCAGAATTAGACTTTGGATAGGACGGAGCCAACTGATACCTCATAAAGAGCAAAAGGTGAAGTTTGCTGAATGGTTCCTGGTTAACACAAGCAACAAGGGCACTTTGTGTGTTTTATCCTCATTTGTATACTGTTCCTTGATAAACGCAAAAGGAAATGTGTGACGTAGCTGAGATTCCCAATATCTAGACTCAAGCATCTCCATCAGAGCACCTGCCATCGCCACTGGAAACCTTGCCATTGCCTGCAGAGGTAGCAGTAGGGTTTTACCTGTAGCCAGGTGCACATCCTCTTTCACAGGGCAGGTGTTGCTACCACCAAATGAGTGTACTCAGCCCAGGCACAGTTTTAACAACAGATGCCTCTGTGATGTATGCAGCCAATCTGTGGGGGAGTGGGCGAGGGTGTTAAATATATATATTCAAAGAATGCATCAACAAAACCACAATAAAACCCCATGTGTAGAAATGATTAATTTCCTACTCTGTTGTTTACTTAATGGTTTCCAAGGAGCCTGTCTTCTGTTGAGTAATGCTAGATCCATTTTTCCTTTATGTTGTGATGTGAGATTTGAAGACTTAACAGAGGAGGGAAAGATTAAACAATGAAAGAATATGTCATAATGGAAAGTAATTAAAAATGAGCATTGGTAACTAGTACAAGAAAGAAAAATATCTCTCAAAAGATAGGCTGGAGGCAGCAACCTCAGTGTCTTTATAATGAGATTCTTCTCCTTTCCCCAGGGATTTTAAACAAAAAGAACTGAACTCCAGGTGGGGCTTACAAGTCAGGTAGTCTGCAGTCTGGCATTTTACATTTCAAGGGAGCTAACTGAAGCAGGTCAGACTATATACTAAGATTAAAAGAAATTAGAAAGGTTCACAAAGTAGAGACCTGCAGGTAATTTTTGAGCCTGCTCTGTCTGTAGTGACACTGAAGAGAAAATATTTGTTCTCTTTCACTCTTTTTTTTTTCCTGTTTGAACTGTTTAAAGTCGCAACAGCTTCACACTTAACAGAAACTGAACATTGTGCTCTGTTGTTGATGTACCTGCTGCATTTTTCACTGTTATTTCTATTGGTCTGGTTTCCTAAGGAAATGAAGTTTGTATGATAATGCTGTCTGTCTGCACATAATAAGGTTTTCAAGCTGATGGCCAATCTTAGCCAAATTTGAAAGGGATTATAAGTCTCAAAGATAATTAAATTTCTGTGTGTTTGTGAAAGCAATGACTGGCATAGGAGAGACTCCAAAACAGTGCCTCACTCTGAGAGGTGGTGGGCTGCAGCCCTCTGGCTGATCAGTGAGGACACAGCTCCTGAGCAGCTGCAGCTCTGCCCTGGTTTCCTGGGGACATGGATATCACAAGAGACATGGAGAAAAGATGAGGAAGATGAATATGTAGTGTATGTCTCAGCATGAGGGAGGAGCCCAGCTCCTAATGTCCCCTAATCAATAGGAAATGAGTTTTCATTAATTCAGTTGCCTTCCAGACATTTTGTGGTTTATTAGGAATATTTATAAACTGTTATTTTGAGAAGGATGTTCATGAAAGAAATCTTTTCTGCCTTTTTGGTTATAAATGCCAAAACACCTTCTATGTCATTATGAGGTTTCCTAGTTTTAATGAGAAAACAACTTAATGAAGTTCCACTTCTACCTGTGAGCTACTGCAGCCTTGAGAGAACTCTGAGTCTTGTTGCATGCTATCGAGAAAGTTTTGATGTCCTTTCCACTGCCATTGTCTCTGACATAAGGATAAACCTCTCAGGACAGGAGGGTAAAAAAATAATGGTTGTCCTTTCAACATCAAAGCTTAATAAATAAGATCATATCATAGAATCATCGAATGGTTTGTGTTGAAACAGACCTTAAAGATTATCTAATTCCACCTACCCCTACCATAGACAGGGACATCTCCCTAGACCACACTGCTCAAAGCCTCATCCAACCTGACCTGGAACATTGCCAGGGATGGGTCATCCACTTCTCTGGGCAACCTGTGCCTCTGGATTCCTGAACCTCTCCATCCTCACAGTAAAGAACTTCTTCCTAACTTAGTTGTTACTCAGCTGGAACTTAAAACTGAGTCAGTATCTGTTTGCTGTAATGGCACAGATTATGAGTTTTATTTAAATAGTAAAACGCTTCTATTGTTACAAAAGAATAACTTTAAAACAGTTGCACATTTTTATATTCAATACTCGTGAGGATTGCCCGTATTGAAGTACCGAGAGGTTTGCAGAGGCCAAGTGCTAATACGTGGCAAGTCTGTAACAGAACCCTTGTTTATTTTTTGCGTGGAAATGGAGCACTGTCAAGTACCCTTTCGTCTCTTCTGTTAATGGGAAGAGGTCACATGGTGAACATATGAAATTTATAAGTCTACTCTTCTTTAGGGAAATACTATTTGTCTTGCTGAAACTCTCTGAGCTATAGGAAACCCAGAATCTAGAAAGCAAGATGACATATTACATCTTCCCGTTTCATGTCTCCATTACACCTAGTGTCATGCATAAGAATGAGAAATGCTCCCTTGGATGCTGACTCTGCTCTTTCAGTGGATGCATAATTCTAGATATTTGCTGTGGGAAGCAACTATGCCCTGAAAACACAGGTGCAGTGGGACAGGAAACCCCATTCTCTTCCTTTCCCATGTGCAGAACAGGAAGTCGATAGATGTTGGATAAATCTGTTTTGAGGAAAAATGATTTATGGATAAAACTATTTTAAATAAACATGGTTTGTGGGTTTGCACTTGGTTTAGTTCTTGTAGCATGACCCACAGGAAAGTCTTTCTGGAGTATTAACCAGCACTTGGTTTGCTATTTACTACCAGTTGAAGAGGGAGTATGTTTACTGTTGCACAGCGAAAAGAACCATAGCTCAAAGGCCCCTGAAGTCACAAGAGCAGCATAGATGCCACAGGTTTCCATAAACAATCAGTCTTTAATGAACTTTCAGAAAGATCAAGTTACACTGAAAATGCTGGTTTCCCGGCACAAAGAAAAGGGTTTTACTTAATATGGAAATATTGAGAATAGAGTGTTTATACAAGAAGGTTCCAGAATGCAATCCACAGTGCTTACATTTGTTTTAATGAAGAATGTGATTCATTAATATAGCTTTAACTTGGTTAGTTTATGTACAATCTGAGTTGAAAAGATTATTTTTTTTCCTAAAACGGATTGTTTTCTTGTTAGTTTGTATTTTTCTTTTTATTGAAAGTGATATGCTTGTTTTCCTGGCAGAAAGATGGCAGAAAATATAGAAACTACTTAGCAGAAGTATCAGTATCAATATAGGAATGTTAGATGAGTATGTCCAGGCATGCTGGACCTAGTTTAATGACTTACCTCTGTCAAGGCTGTCAAACATCATATGCAGATGTGTTCTGCCTGCCTTGACTTTGAGCCCAATCTTTCTTTCCTTTGAAAATTTCATCCTAAAAGAGAATAGTGGCAGCCTGGGAAGGAACAGAAGAAACTTCTCACTCTTTCAAATTGTGTGAGGTCAAGAAACGACTGAGGTATCTGAAGACATTTGAAACAGTGCTAGATTGTTATTTTTTTCCCCCGTAAAAACAAGATACGTTTATCTCCTGAGTCGATACACTCTGCTATTCATATTGAGTTCAAATCAAAGACATATTTCTTGCTAGAACTGGAATCTTGCAGAACTGCTTACTTGTTATTTTAAGTGGAGTTTCAAAAGGCCAGAAAGGTCTTCAAATAATCAACGAAGTGCCACTCAACTGT